GTGGGATAAGTCCGTCGTCGTCAGTCAGTCTCCGTAGGGAATGTGATGGGACAAGATAGACTCTACTTCCGTGGTCCAAGAGGGCGCTGGCTGGTGGGCGGAGGACCGGACCTGACCGAACCAGGACCAGAGGACCAGGCATGACCTTCGACGTCTCTAGAGCTGTCCGGAACGTAACTTATTTAGAGAATATTTTGGAATACATGTGAATTTGGCGGCAGTCGAGCTTCCAAAAGCAGAAGTGACGTTAGGCTGTAGGGTAGGGTAGGGTAACCCCTTCGACATAACGCGGGCGGGCTTCGAGCTCTCTCCGGCGGCAAATCGCTGCAAAATTGCAAAATTCAAAGCTGGCGGAGGAGACTTCGAAGCTAGTTTAGGTTCTTTGTTGGATGAAAATCCTCGAAAGATGTCGATAGTTTGGACTACGGAGTCTCTCGATGGAGTGATTGAATGTTTTCGTTGCTTAAGTTGTTGGTTGGATGAAAATCCTCGAAAAGATGTCGATTGTTTGGACAACGGAGTCTCTCGATGAATGAATATATGATTTGGTTGCTTAAGTTGTTTGTTGGATGAAAATCCTAGAAAGAGTGAGTGAATGATTGAATTTTCGAGGTTTAGCTTTATTCTTTGCTTTCAAGCAAAGAAGCCTTTGGTTTGACCATAGAGATTTGTCACTTTGAATGGATTTTCTCGTTTCGAAGAGCGTAATTGATTCAGTTGTTTGCCCATACGCAGGCTTTCTTTCAATGGTGAAATGTTTTCAGACCTTGTCCAAGAACATGTTTTGGCTTTCTGCAAGCACGTGGCTTACATGGGTGGGCCGATGTAAGCCATCTACGTGCACAAGGCCAAAGCAGGCGGGTCAGGGAGAGTTCAAATCAGATATATAGCACACGAAGAATTCATCGAAACACACATTTCAGGCTTAGTCCTGGAGCCGCCCGTACTTGGATTACTCCTGGGTGACATTGACAGCATGGTACCGATAATGGGCACCACAGAACCTACACTCCAAGGTTTAAACCCTAACCCTAAACTTCAAATCGAATGAGTATCTTGCATCCAGTTTTAGACACGATTTCCGTCCTATTTATCCAATTGTTACTTTTTATCCAACTTTATACTGGAAGGGGTTCCCGTGATAGAGTATAGTTTTACTGTTCAGTGTAAGTTATCAAAAATTATTAATTGGTGATTGATTGATAATTCATCATCTTATTTCCATAATATGATCTAATTTCCATAAGGTGAATAATAGGAAAGGAAGAAGACAACAAAATACTGTGAACTCCTATTTATCCAAGTGTTACTACATACATACTGGAAGTGGTTCCCCTGATAGATTTGTGTTTAGTGTAAATTATCAATAATTTATTATTGGTGATTAAGTGATAATTTATCATCTAATTTCCATAATTTAATTTAATTTAAGTTGAATAATAGGAAGGGAAGAAGACAAGATAATAATCAGTGAACGCCCTTTTTGGAGCCCGCTAGGTGTGAAAACAGTTCACAACCTATTTAGGAAAGTGCTACCCTTCTACACAGCGAACTAACTAACGAGCACATGGATTTTCCTCGCACGCGTACTTCCCATAGTCCTTGGTGGTGGATTCGAGATTCTAAATGCAAAAATGCGGAATTATGGAAGAGAATCAAGTAGAATAAGACATGGGCAGAATCATCTTACCTTCACTTGAATCCGCATAAGAGCCACAATTATCGCACGGATGGGAAGGAAGGGTGAGATGGGGGAATCGCTCGTATCGAAGATTAGTGATGGATCGATTGGGAGAAGATGTGTCACTCGCGGATGAAAGGTTCCGATCGAAGTATCCCTCCACGTCAATTCACAGCTGAAAATGAAAATTTTAATTCAATGATAAGCATGTTCTTCAGGAAAAAAACTTTTAATATTTTTTAACTTTTGTATTTTCTAGTTATATCTAGTATATATATTCATTCATATAAATTTTATCATTTTCTTTTTAGTTTCATAGTAGTGTTGTGGATGTCGAGGTATCCTTGCCTCTTTGTTTTTACACCCTCTCAGCGAAGAATTGAATCCCGAAGTCTGAGGAAAACACATATTTCACTCGTGGCTTGCTTTCGATCGAGTCCATGGATGCTTCCACAGTCTTCTCGAACACATGCTCAATACTGTGTCCTACTCTTCAGCTTCCGGATCCGGATTCCGAAGTAAATGCAGCTCCAAATCTGCTCACAATTTAGTTGTGAGACATGGACATGGAGAGACATGAACCAAAGGAAAAGCTGGCCGACACAAGGAGGTCGAGGTCGAGGCTAGGCTAGTCTAGGCTAGGCTTCGGCGTCCGTGGTGCATGATGCTCATGATGGCGAGGGATGAGAGTAGGTCGGGGCGGGATTCTCTACGCATGTTCATGTTCATGTTCGCGACGTTCATCGCTCGTACAGTGTAGAGGTGTAGTAGTAGAGGCCTGGAGGACACTCTAGAAGCTCTGTGGAGGTTCTGCTGACCACCATGGCTGCGAAGTCCGTCCTTCCTGTTTATGTATGCGTGCTGCCATATCTACTTCGGACAAGAAGGAAGGAGGAAGAGGATGAGGAAGGAAGCCCCCCTAAGGTCCGTACCCTCCTGCTCCCACTCTCGTAGCATCAAAGGTCAGTCATTCTGTCAGTCAGTGACAAAACCCCGACAGGCCTACTGCTTCTACTATTTCTACTGCTGCCAGCTTGGTTATGTTTCGGGCTCGGGTTGAAACGGCCCCACGAAGGGAGGGGTCGTTCAATGTTGTGGAATCGAATTGCCTTTTGCCCTGGGCGAAACACCGAACGAACCTGAGATTTGTCGTGTTGCCGGTTGCCATTTCGGATATGATAGAAAGGAAGGAAGGAAGGAAGGCACTTTTACCCAAAGCGAAGCAGATTCGCGAGGACACGTTCTCCGGTGCTGCAGTGGATGATTGTGTGAAGATTTGATCCTCTGGGTGGGGGCATCGGCGCCAGATTAATGGAAGTAGTGTTTTACCCTATGGCTTGACATAATGAGCTTTCCTGGGATGGAGATGCCGTTCATTCGAGGAATCATATCGACACACTATCTGGGCAATTTGATGTCTGGGGATCGCGGACACGAACACGGACATGGGCATGCAATGCCTGCGCAATACGCCGTGGGGGAGGGGGGTGGATTCTTTGCGCGTCGTCGAGCTCACATGCCCACACGACCGAAGAAGGAATCGACCATGTCCATAACCGACTGGGAAGAATTTCGCACAGGGCCAAAGACCTCTGACGATTTTGGCCACGATTCGCGAATGTATGGATGGATGAATGCATGAATGAACGGAGGAACGAATGCACGAATGCGGCTTGCGCGATGCCCTCCCTCACTCCCCCGACGACGACCCTTGGGCGTCCCATCGGCTGGCCGTGTCAGCGCATGCATCAGCTCGACAGTCTCTCCGACGACAGCCATTGACAGACGGACATAATTGGCCCCGATTCGAAGACAGCCGTCGCCCAGGGGCACACGACAAATCGAGCGGGCAGGACGCGGACGCAAGGCCCGGTAAATTCCGTTCCCGGCCTTTAATGCTCCTTCTAGCAGCCCCCTCTGCCCACGGGACCCAGTGACCAGAGCTGTTCGAGCCTGGAGCTTGGAGCCTGCCGGACGGACGGACGGACGGACGGACGGACGCATTTTGCACTGGGTCCCACTGAGGGACGGACGGACGCAGTTCGAAGTTTGGTCGAGGTCGAGGTCGGTCGTCAGGCAACACGAGAGGATAAGGCAAGTGGAGGGGACGACGGGAGGGGAAGCCGGTCGCCGGTCAGGGACAATGTTTTCCCTGTGGGGGCAGGTACAGTAGGTCGTACATCACCGGCACTAGAGGCTAAGCAGACTGGCACGGGCCCACCGAGGGGCCACGAACATATACAGAAGCGTATGAGGAGGTTCGTTGGGTGTCAGGGCGCGAGAGGGCACTTTGCGTTGCGAAGTGGTTGGAAAGAGGCGCTTCCGTAAACATGGAACGCATGAATGCAGTCGCAAGGACGCCACTGTGCGCTCGCAGGACAAGGCTCTTCCTCCTCGAGGGAGACGCTCGCTCGTTCGCTCACGCCCCTGCCGTGAGACGCAAGCCAGCGGCGCTGGCTACCTCTGCTGGTACCGTATTCCAGTCTCCAGGTCGTACGCCCCGGGCTCATACCACATGTCGTCGAGTTGCACTTCGCCCGCGATTATTCTAGATTTGGTTGCTCGGTACGATGGCTGTAGATTCCACCCCCACCCCCCCCCTCCGTCTCGGGAACCTCGACCCCTCGACGGCAGAGGCTATGAATGTTTCGCGTTTACTTTCTCGCTGCGCAGATGCCATTCCCCCCGGTCGTCGTTCTCGTCAGGCCCAGCTCACATGTGTTGCTTGTGTTCCGCCGGCCCGCCTGCGGACGAGTCTCGAGTTAATAGTTTCAGTCTGCCCTGTCGTCTGAAAGAATCAGACTGCGATTGGAAGCCTCGACATCAGGTCTTGCCACCGACAGGACTGAAAGGTAATGCAGATTGAAATGATTATCACTCGTTCGTCCGCTCCATGTACACTCGCTGCCTTCACCGTCCAACATGAACATGCGAAGATACATTTCGTGCATTCGGCGAACCCTCTAGGCCTCGTAGCGATGACTGTATCGACAATATATCCGCTAGACCTCCAACTAGCGGATATATTGGATGGATCATAATCTGTTTGACCGAGTGATTTTGTCTGAATCGCCAGCAGATCGCACGGCCCGAGACATCAGGCCCGCGTCTGGCATGTACCATCCGACGCCGGCCTGCCGAAGAATCGCAGTGCAATTTGTAAAAGCTGATGATTAGCGAGGCGAGAGAGAGAGAGAGAGAGAGAAGAGACACGGGCGAGACAGCAGCAATTGCAAATTTATACTGCATACTATTTTCGGCAAGGCCGGTGAGTCGAGGCAGTGAAAATGGCAGCCAGATGGAAACGCAGAAGTGTAAAGAGCGACAGAACAGAAAATTGTAATGAAGTGACTTCTCTCGTCAATATACAAGTTCCGTTAGCATGGGACGGTGACATGACAACCAGGAATCAAAGACCACTATTAGTAATTACAGTACATCTACAATATGAAGACACCGAAGAAATTGGAGTATCCAAGTCCGTTATTTGTGGCACGGATCCGATGGACAAGCGTTTGTGTATAGTTCACGGAAAAGATTGAAAGAGTTCGCAACTCCTTCGAAACACGGCACTGACTTACGATTTCCCTACTAGTTAACTCGAGCGAGAGGAAGTATGATGTTTGAGGTGGTTTGGTCGGTGATTAGTTCATTACTTCTCTTCTCGACTCATCCGTTTCTTCAGCATATGAGTTTATTTGAAGCAGACGTCGTCCGAGAACATCCAGATCTCCTCCACCGACTCCAGTAATTTCTTGTCAATATCGGGGCTATGTTCGAGGTCTATATCGAACTCTGCCAGCTCTTGGAAGGCTGGGGTTTGCGGTAAGATCACCGACACACCCTTCATCGCTTCGTAATCTTGCGAATACTCGGGCGTTACTCCAAGGCGGGGTGCGCTTCTCTGCTTAGACATCTTGCACGTGGCATTCCCGGCCTGTTCCATGTTTTCTGAATTGAAAACAGAACTGAAGCTCGAGTTGAAGCTCCACTCTTTCTCCATAGCATCTTCGCAGCTACGCTTTGATTTCTTCGAGCTTTGACTTGTCGACCGCGCGTTGTTGGTGTTTGCGCTGTTCACATTATTCAAAGTGTTATTCACGCTCTGCTCTCCGTCTTGCTTGTTTGGATCGCTATTCTCGGAAGAACTGTCGCTGTCTCCAGTTCGAGCCTTCATTGAGATTGTCCCAGTTTCTGGTAATTTTACTCCGGCACTGTTGCCTCCGGTCGTCTGAAGACTCTGATCATCGGTGTCTAAAGCATCCTTGAGCCGAGAGTTTTGGTCCCGACCTCCTCGATTTTGATCTTTCGATTCCAACCGCTCTCGGAGTACCTTGTTCTCATGCTCCAACTTCTTCGCAGTGGCTACTGCACTGTTAGCCTTGCGCGTGAGCGCGGCATTTTCCACCCGGAGCTGTGCAACCTGCACGAAGCCAACACACGCCACAGATTTGTCTCAGAATTCCTTGTACAGAATGACAACTTCGCAGCAGATGACAATTTGACAGATGTTTCTCGTGACTACCGCAAAAGACTTGAGCTTACCAGCACTTCAAGCGTATCGAGTCTCTCCTGCCGACGCTGCCTTGAACGCTGAGCGGAAGCCCGATTCGACAACATCCTGCACAAGAAAAATGCTACGGTCGGTCATCGGCACATAAACATTTGATGCATTCTCTTCAGGAAAAAGCAACCAAGCTCAGAACCTACCACAAGATATCCCGATCTCGACATAGATACACTAGCCTTGAGTCAGGGAGAAATAAAAGAACGACCATATAGTGAACCACCATCCACCATCAGTTGACAAACTGATGCTCCGAACATATGCCTTCGAAAATAGTCGCACCTCTTTCGGCGCTTCTCGCTGATGACAGGAGTTCCCTCTCCATCGTCATCCGACCCCTCCATGTCGGAATCCAACATGCATACATCTTTCGGACTCGTCGTCTCCTTCTTCACTCCGGGTCGTACTGCCGGTTTAGGCTTCTGGCATGCGGCTTTCGCAATCTTGGGGGAGGGATTGCACAATTTCTTGGCGGAAGTGTCCTGTTCTAAACGACCCTCCTGGATGACCTCCTCGACCCAAGGCCCTCCCTGCGACTTGTCCTCTTCCTTGAGCCTCTCCATGCCCTCCAAAGACAGAGGCTCTTCGGTCGCCGCAATCGAGCTTGTGGTCGCGATTCCCATCTCGGATGCGGGACCCTGTGTCGACTGCAAGTGTGCAGCACCACCATCCATACCACCACCATACGACGAAAGCATAGCTTGGGTGTCGCAGTAAAACGAGTTCGACTGCGGCGTAGCCCAATTTGGTTGTGGCTGCCATGTCTTCGGCACTTCTTGCTGTGCGAGAGCAGAAGCCAAAAGAGAGCCCAAAGGTGCTGCGTCGATCACATTTGATGCACAAACATCGTCCTTCGGAAATCTGACAACAACATAACAATACGGTGAAAACCCGGCCTTTCCAGTCTCGAAAATGAGCTCACAACGCTAGGATGTAGCAAACAATACAGGGTTCCAATTTCGAGCGGTCTCTATTTCCGGGCACATACAAATCAAATAATTCTACTTCTTCAAGCCCCATTACCATGTGCTGCGGCTTCCCTCCTCAAAGGATCTCATAGTAATATGCACGAGGCCACAACATAGACAAACACGATTAGCAGCACCACGATTAACGAAAAACAGTAGTGAATGAGAAAACAATACCCTGCTTGTGGGTAGTTGAAAAACTCCACCCATGACGGCCAAGAGCTTCCGGCAGCCTGGGGCGGAGGAGCGCCCCAATTGGTCCGAGGATCAGGCGTCCATGAGGACGGGTTCACATCTCTCCTTCTCCCGATTGGGAGAATGGAGGGCGTCGTCACATCTGGTGGACGACACATGACTGTGCGCTATAGAAAAAAAATACTCTTCCTTGCCGTTCAAGAAAGCACGCACTCCTGTCACTCTACACTCTCACAGATTTTCTCTTCCCCGCTTCTCAATAATCCCACAACTCTCCTCTTCCCACAAAAGAACAAATCGCAACCGACACCACCACCACCAACCACGCCGACCGCCAAAGAACACTCCACCGCGACCACGTGTTTTCTTCTTCTCCTTCTTCTTCTTCTACCACCTCTTCCGTCGACGGCTCCTCCTCTCGTGTGGAGATCCGTTTTCTTCTCCTCCTCCTCCTCCTCTCTACCTAAAAGCGAGCCAAATGGCAAAAATCTCGTTCTTCTTCTCCTCCTCCGACGTGTGAGCAAGAAAAAAGCTCCACGGTCTTCTTCTCTTGTGCTCTCGTCTGATCTTTTTTCTCTCTCTCTCTCTCCCTCTCTCTGTCTAAATGTCGATGTCTCTGTCTCGAGGCCGAATAATTCGTAAGAGATGAATATCGTCCCAGGGAGGGGAAGACAGGACACTTTGTACTGGAGGGAGAGTACAACTGCAGCTGACTTTCGCCCGTTCTCGGGGCGGTGTCTACTGCCCGAACCAGAAGGGATCGAGGAACGAGCAATGTACCGAGAGAATCGCCTGTCGCCTCTTCCTCCCCCACCACGCTCCCGCTTTCCATTAACCGGGCCGCGCGCATTTTCACCCGGCCGCGCCTGCTGCCCGCCAGGACGGACGACTCCGCCCTGCCCTGCCCAGCCCAGGACCTCCCCACTTGCGTCGATCTACCTGGTCCGTTAGTAATGATTAAGCCTTTGCGTCTTATTTCTTTTTCCCCTTTTTCATCCACGCATATAAATAAATGTGAACGCTGGCGGCCCGGTCCGTCCGTCTGTCTGTCCGTCCGTCCGTCGTCGTCAGGGTAGGGGTCGGTCCCACACCACTTGACTGGAAGAAGGGGCTTCGCTTGTCTCATAGCTCGGTAGATGATGGCGACCGGAGATTGTTGAGTTTTATGGTGCAATGTTGACGGACAGTGTCGCACGTGCTGGTCTCATAGGAGCACCGAATGTGATTGGAGGTACGAGGGTTTCTAGATCGTGCCTCAGGTTGATTAGAAGTGCCAGAAGGATCCGGATCTTTCAGAGGGGTACCGGTTTTCGAGTTAGCCGTGGGGTTATTTTCTCTGATTTTTCTCCCTTCCAAGTGGGGGCCGAGTTGATCTGTCATATCTCTTCGGTTCCTGGTAGCCAGGGAAATTACTTTGTTTGATTCTCGGCAACTAGTTTGGTGTTCTCTGGCCTTCCCAGTTGGGACCGTAGTGCATCTCTTGGACTTTCGTTTGAGCCAGGAATTTATGTTTGACTATTGGCAAGGTTTTCCAATTTGTCTTCCTCTCCTAATGGGGGCGAAAGTGCTCTTTCGTCTCATCTCTTTGCCGGCAGGCTTATGGTGTCCAACCAAAAAGGACTGCTCAATCATCTCAGTGTCCTCCCATATGACCCTTGTCACAAGTTGTTTGAAAGTTAGTTACTTCAAGAGTTGGTTTTTTGCGATAAAAGTAACAGGTCAAAACCAATCGACAGTTGATTCCGAGCTTTACGAATTTTAAACCATTTATTTCATTCAAAAATTAATTATAGAAAAAGATGTTAAATCAAGAAATATATCGTCATGACTTTATATATGGGTGATAATAATTGTTTTGGTAATATACAAAATATTTATAATCACCGATGATCAATCTAGATAATCTTTATTCCTTTTAATCTAATAGTTAATTTTAAATTTTAAGAATTATGCAGTCTGCCATTTACATTGCAATGAAACAATACTCATGTTTAACCGATAGATATAATTCTAGATACTAAATTCAATTGAAAAGAAAGATAGAATGGAACCCTAGAGAAAACTATTCAATTTTTTAATTCTTCTACTTTTACAAGTATTTATAAAGAAGAAATTTCATATATTTTTTTATAATATTAAGCAAAAAATAAGTATTTTTTCCCAACAAATTCATCTAATTTTAAATATAACTAACAGTAATAAATTTTTGATGTAGTAATTTATTTATATAATTTCACTAGAACTCAAGTTTCATCTAAACTATTTGATATAATATTAAAAATATATTAAAAAAATCTGTTAAATCAATCACACTATTTTTTTGAAAATCACATATATATTTTCTACAAAATAAGTAAAATACATATATTTTACATTTTAAATTTAAAAATTTCTGAAATGTTAAAAAAATGATTGATAATTAATTTTCAGATGTTGATAAAATATTTTTTTAATTAGAAAATATATATGATCAATAATAAGATTATTGATTATACAACAAATAAATCCAATAGAAGAATGAATTTTTTAAAATTGATATATCATATTGATTGGTACTGATATACTGATTAAAAAAGTATTAAGGCTAAATAATTCAAATTATAATAAAAGTATTATGATAAGACTATTATTAACTATACTCGTTTTTTTATAAAAAGTGTTTTAAATGTAAACAAACAATTTTATATAAAAATTTGATTTATATTATTATTACATAGCTAAACTCTGAAATTAAAAATTGTTTTAGATATTCCTTGTACTTGATAATTTTAAAAATCTATATTAAACAATTATGCTAAACGATGTTGATGGTAATGTGTAAATGTTTAACTTTAATAGCATGAAATCTAAAAAAATAATAATTGCAAGAATCAATTGTCGAACATATCTTAATGAAAGCAATGTCTGCTGTAGGTAGACTGAAAATATAGATAGTTAAGATAGGTCTGACAGTCATGTGTAGAAGAGAGTTGAAATCAGTTTTTGACCGTCTTACTCGATCATTGTTGTCGACAGTTCACTTGTATCATAGTTCTACTGAATCTAGTTCGAATGCCAAATTTACATCATTGTTTTCCGTGCCTCATAGAACTCTCTTCTCAATAATAATATATCCAGATCTTCAAGTTTCTATGAATTATTATCTAATTAATTTTTTTTCTTACCGATTTTATAGTGGCAGATTTTTTGTTTCTTGTAAAGTTTGTAGACCTAAATAGTTGCATGGCTACTTCTTTCTTTGTTTCATGATCATAAATAGAATAATGCTTATTACATGTAGAAAAAAAATTTCCTAAATTCTGAAATTAATGAAGTGATTTAGATGTCATTTGGCCTTGATAATCTTTGAAATTTATATTTAACAATTGCGTGAACAATGTTTATTCACATGATTATGTGTATAATGTTTAATTTTGATAGTATGGAATCTCAAAAGAAAAGAAAACAATTGCATTATTCATATGTTGTCATGATGAAACATTTTAAATTATCAATAAATAATGATGATATTAAAAACATTATATTTATAATATCAGTGTTATTTTTTATGTTGCGCATACTGATGTGACTCTAGGTGATAGTATTAAAATCTGGCCATTGTAAATAATGTATGTTTGTTCTCAAATTGGTAAATCTTTTTTGTAGTATAAATTTTTCCAAGAGTCTTAGAATAACAAAGCTAAACACTTCATTATCAATAATGTTATATTGATATAAAAATTCATAAATTATATTTATTTATATATTAAAAATTATTAAAATATAAAATATATTTGAAGTATGTGATATAATTTGCTATAGTGTTTTTTTATCTAACATTAATTCTAAATTTATGTCAAGTTTAATTTTCTAAATTTTTTTTAAGAGTAAGAAAGTTTAAAAGTTCAAAGTAGTTGACTTGAAGATTCTTTCAGACACTTTCACAACAATTTGGAAAATTTTTTTATGAACTTTTATTGTGAAAAGTTAAAAATTATATATATTATATATAAAATAATAAATAAAATCTAAATTTTATTCTTATTAAAAGAAATACATAGCTATCAATAATTACATACATATATAAATAAAGTTCAAGTCTTTTGAGCAAAATGTTCAAAACCAAAATAAATTGATTTTATTTTTTTAACATATTATATTGTAATTAATATTCAAACTTATGTATGGGTATAAAACTTGTATTGATTTTATTGATTTAAATTAATATAAAAATTCAAATCAAATCATAAATTTTTACTATAATCTTATGTGATATGTAATTTTGATATAAATTTAAAGATTTAAAAATAAAATTTAAATAAAATTTCAAAATTTATTTCCCAAAAAATGATCAAGCTTTTCATTAACGATACTATAAAATAAATATTTCAAATAAAAATATTTTGTCAGAAAAAGGAAAATTATTATAATATGATATTGAATATTATATTATTATTTAATGATATGATAGATTAATTTTGTAAATTTGAAAAAAAAATTACTGTTTTTTCACTAATATTAGTTTTCATCATGAAAAAAAATGAATCTTTTACAATAAAAAATTATTTAAAATAATATTTAGAATTTCAAACTTATAAAAACTGCATTTCAAACTGCATTAAACATTATTTGAAAAAAATGCTTATAAAATTATATTAAATTTATATTGATTAATCTATTAATATTTATTTTAATAATTTAATCATATTTATAATTTATTATAATTTTATTTTTTATTATAATTTTGATTATGTAAAGTTTATTATATGAAATTTGAAGTTATTATAATTATTTAAAATTAAAATTAAAATTATTTTATATAAAATATAAAATAGAACAAAGTTATAGGTTTTATTTTGAGTAATAATTTTAATTATATATTTTTATATAATAGTCATGCAATAAATTACAAATAAAATCATAAATATATTGTTATTTGAATTATTAAAATAATTTTTTTTGTGATGTATGTATAAGATTTATTTAAAAAAATTGTAATTTCATTGAGTGTTAATGTTTTTTATTGTGTTTAAATCACATATATCTAGGAATAATTTTGGTTTGAATTTTTTCATTGTTATATATGTCATCAAAAAATTAAAATTTAAAAAGATGCTAAATTATATTTTTTTCATGTTAAAAAGTAAATCTATGATTTTTCAAAATCATAATATATCCAATACATTTTACATAAACTTTTGATAACAAGATTAGCATCTTTACTTCATTTTTTTATAAAAATTACAGTTCACTATGTGTAGATATTTTTTATGAATTTGAACATGTAAATCCAAATTCAAAATTGCATGTAAAAATATTCCCATCATGTCTATATGAGATTTCATTAGCAAATGGTGTTATAGAATATAAAAACACTATGTGTGGTATGAAATATAAAAATCATTGACATTTAATTGTAATCAAATGAATATTTGTCAAAATACACTTGAATGAATAATTGAAATAGAATAAATTTAGCAATGAATATTATATTGTGTTACATGTTACACAAAAATGTTGTATATGGAGAATTATCGCTTATAACTAAATCTATCTTAAAAATCAAAATGTATGTTAAGATGACTTTTAAAAATGTTAGATATTAAGAATCTACTATGAGAACTTTGAATCTATGATATTAATAATCTTGAAAAAAATATTCACACAACAATTTTACAACTT